GGCGTGTGCTCTGGGGGGGGGGGCAAGGTACCTGGCGGCGAAGGCATTGTGGGGCGGGCGAGCGCGGACGGCGTTGGTACCGGGCTTCTCGGAGACGGCCATTGTGACGGGCGTTGCGTGGTATTCGGGGCAGAGAGGGTGCTCTATCCCGGAAATGTCAGCTGTCTGCCGCCCGGGAGGTGAGAAGCGAGGGAGAAAGGGTCAACAACTCGGGGCGTGGGACAGAGGGAGGATGGGGGACATTCGCAAAGATACAGGGGCGCAGGGCAGGGGGAGGTACCGAAATGGGCGGATGAAAAGCAACTAGGGGGAGTCCCGGGGCCCGGTGAGCGGGCAGCGCCCCGGCACAAAAGTCCACCCCGGTAGCCGGGTTCTGTCCTCCCGCTCGGGTACTCCCCCCCCCCCCCCACACACACACACACACACACACACACACGCGCTCGCGCGCGCGCGCGCGCGCGAGTCTCCGGCCCCGGGGTGGGGGCGAGGGTACCCACTGGTGCCCGGGCATCACCCCGAGGCATGCGCACACCCCGGGGTCGCGCGCCGCGCGTCGACCCCTGTGAAGGCCCCGCCCGGGCGGAGTCTCGCGTTCCGCCCCCGCCCTCCCGAGGGGACGCCCCCCGCCCCCCTTCCCCCTCGCGCACCCCAGAAACCCAAAGAGAGGAGCGGGAGAACAGGAGCGGGACGGGGTAGGAGAGGGCCCGGGTTGCTCGCCGGAACGCAATGCGGCCGATGGCTAACAGTCATTGGACACAAACGGATGAGGCCCGGCGCCCCTCGCGGCTCGGCATCCCCCCCTCCCCGTCTGGGCCCGGCCCGGCCCGGCCCGGCCCTCCTTTGGAAGGGGCAAGCACAGCACGCGCACGCGCGCACGCAAGCACACATATTGCGACTCCCCCAAAAGGCGCGGAGAGAGTGCCGCCCCGCGCGGGCCCGGCAACCCCGGGGAAACTGGTCAAGAGCGGCTCCCAAGAGTGGGGGGCTGGTGAAACGGGCCTCCAGACAGGGTGAGCCAGAGGCCCCGGCAGCCGGGTAATATTGATGGGCTTCCGGCGGCCGGGACCCGAGGGGCGGTGCTGAGCGCTGTCGTCGCCGGGGGGGGGGCCGGCGCGCAACCGCGAGGCCTGCCTTCCGCGCGCCTCACCACGTCCTTGCAGGGAGGAGGGCCGGGGTCGGGAGAGATGCCCCCCCCCCCCCCCCCCCCCCCCCCCCCCGCCCGAGGATATTTTAGCAGACCGGTGGCCAGCCGGCGTCAGGCCCGCGCAGGGGGCAGGGGGGACGGCCGCGGTCACCGGAGCCGCCGGGCCCGCGCAGGGTGCGGGGCAGAGCAGGGGAAATGTGCGGCCGGGCGCCATGCAGGACGCGGCCGGCATCTCACCCGGTTGGGGGGGGGGGGGGGAGGCCCAGAAAAGCGGCCCCGACCGGGGTGCGGACGCCTTGGGAAGAAACCACCACGCCCCTTCCGGAGGATGGGGCCCCCAACAACCGGCCGAAAAGCCGGGCACGAGGCATCCCAGAGCAAAGAGGCCTGGCAGGGGCATCGGCCCGGCGCGCGACAAGCCCCTCCGGCGGGTGGAGTTGGGGCGGCACTCTCCGGCTCGGCCCCCGGCCCCCGGCCCCGGCCGTCTTGCCCGGCCACCCCCGACCCGGGCCCCCAACCGCCGGCTGCCCCAGAGACGTGTGGGGGGCCGGGTCGCCGCTGGGGGGCGGGGGCGGGGGGGGGGGGAGGGGAGCATCGGCCGAATGAAGAGCGGCCGGAGAATCTGCCCGCCCCTCACGCGGGCCCGATGTGGGCCCCGGCCTCCGGCCGCTCGCGTCCCCTGCTGATGCGAGGCCGACCGCGGTGACGACGAACGCGAAGGGACATCGAGAATGAGGAGCGGCCGGCCTTCCGGGCCACCTCAAACCCCGGACAGTCCTGGACAGTGGAGATCCGCCACGCTGGGGCTGGGAGTCCGTTCGCCCGCCCCCCTCGGCCCTCTCCCGTACTGCACCCACCATTAGCGCCGGCCCGCCCCCGGCAGCAGGTTTGTACATTCACGAGCCGGGAGCCCGAGGCCGAGATAGCGCCCCCCCCCCCCCCGGCCCGGGGGGGGGAGCGCTCTTGCTCCTCGAAATCGGCCGGCTCCGGTATGGTGCATGCAAGTGCGCCACCGTGGCCACGCGTCGAAAGGGGCCCGGGTCCGGGCGAGAGCCTATCGCTGCCGGGAGCCGAGGTGCGTGCGCGTGCGGAGGCGTCGAGAAAAAAACCGGCACTCGCACGAGGAACAGGCGGAGCGCCGTGCGGGGGCCGGCCCCGTGGCACCAAAACGGCCAGGCGGCCAAAGGACCCGCGCACGGTGGATACCCTGCATGAAACACCTCGGGGGGGGGGGGACGGGAGCGGGGCAAAAATGCTCCCTGCTCTCTGGAGAACCGGACGGGGCAGAGAGCCACCAGCGCCCAGTGGCACCCCCCGCTGCCGCACCCCGCGCCCACGCTGGCTGCCCCAGGCTCCGGACGGAGGTCACATGGAGTGGCCCGCCGAAAAAGGGAAGAGGTAGGTGCTGAAATTTCCCTCGCCGTCCCCCCCCCCCCCCCCGGGGGGGCGGGGGTGGGGGTGGGTGGAGAACAAAGAGACCAAGGATAATGAAGAACATGTCCAGGGATTGACGGCACCCAGGCGAGCCAGGCCGAAGGGCGACGGGATGCCATCGCGGCGGCGGGCGCCGCCGCGACGCCCCTCCGCCTCTCCCTCTGTCCCCCCCCCCCCCCCCCCCCCCCCGGAAATGGGCGGGCCACGCGTGGCGGTCGCCGGCCGGCCACATTGTTCGCGAGTGATGGCCTCTTGGGCATTCCAGGGGGCGGACAAGGGAGCGTGTCGGCGGGGACTGGTCGCCACACGTGCATGCATGCGTGCGTGCCGCGTACGAGCGCACCCCTCGCTGCACACTGTGAGGGGGGCGGGGGGGAGAAATCGGCTGGGGAATTTCGCGCACGCGCCGGCCTCGCAAGAGCGGCGCATCCGAGGCCGGCGCTCGCCGGGGCCGTCCGCAGGGAACGCCATGCCATCTCTCTCCGGCCGATCGGCGCCCCCCTTGGCGGCACCGGAGCCACCTTGCCGAGCCGGCCGCAAACCGGCATTCTCGGCTCCCGCTGTTTCAGCCCACTGTCAAAGAACGGCCGGGCGGGGGGGGGGGGACACAAGGCCACACAGGCATCAGGAGGGGGGCCTCCTGGCGAGCCTGGAGGCCGACACATGGGCCCTTGGTGTTGGGCGCGGCTCCGGCCCGCCGCACGTCAGGCAGGGGGTCCGCCGGGCGGTGTGTCCGCGCCTTGACCTCGCTCCGGCACGGAACACCACAGACAGCAGCATGCCCCGAGCCAGGGCCGCCGGGGCAAAGAAACGCATGGGCAGCCGGCAATTGCCCGAGTCCGCCAAGAGGGTGGAGGGGCCGGGGCACGGGGGGGGGGGGGGGAGACGATCGGCCCTCGTCATGCCCCCCTGCGGGCGGGGCACACGAGCGCACAGGCGCTTCGGCGCGCGGCCGGTGTCTGCCGCCGGCCCCCGCCCTCCGGTGCCTCCCCAGGCGGAGATGAGGCAAGGTAATTCAGGCGGGGATCCCGGCGCCGATCGGGCGGGCCGGCGCCTCGGAGCCGGCGCCAGCATGTTCGCCCGGTGACCTCATGTTGGCCGGGGAGGCAGGGAGCCGCGCCACGCCCCCGGTCGACCGGCGGGACTCCCGTTGGCGGTCAGCTTGTGCGCCCGGGCCCCCCCGCCCCTTCGCGGGGGGTGCACGCGTGGATGCATCTCGCGCTTGCCGACCGGGCAATCTGGCCCCGGAAGCCGACATGCTCGGATGACCCTCCCGGGGGCGGGACGGGCAGGGCGGCACCCAAGGCCGCGAAACTCCCAGAGCATGACAGGGGGGAATGACGAGCTAGCGAGAGGGAGAGAGAGAGAGAGAGAGAGAGAGGGAGGAAGGGTTGGTGGGGGTGGGCAGGCCTCACGGATGACCGCGCACCGGCCATCGAGGCCCAGACAAGGATTCCCTCGGCCCAGGAAAGGGCCCCAAGCCCGGCCGGGGTGGCCTGCCCCTGCCGCCTCCACCGCCAGCAGGGCCACCAGGCCGCAGCAGCAGCAGCGGTGTCGGTGCCGGTTCTCCGGTGGTGAGCGGGCCCCATCGAGGCGGGCGTTTTCCCTCCCCCCCCCCCGGCATGCGGGCAAATCCAAGCCACCCAGCGTGTTGAGGGGGCGGGGAGGAGAGGGGGTCGGGCAACAACACCAGGGCCGGCCGAGGGGGCGGGGAGAAGGTCGCCCCCGGGGCCTGCGCTCGCCAAAAATTGCCGACGAGCGAGGGAGAGGGGCCGCACACACATGGATATATATATATACACGAGCAGCCCCCCAGACGGATCACCCCCGGCGAAGGGTGCCCGCCGTCGCCGCACCCGACAAAGGACATGGGCGCATGCTGCTTGGACACACTCTCCAACCGCGAGGACTGCCCAGACCCGGGGGAAGTGACAGCCTCCGCACCGGAGAACCCCCCC